TGTGGGGTTTAATTTTTTTACTAGCTGAACTTAAAACTTTAAAAACAGCATCATGAATTCCCGAAGAAATGGGAATTCTTGACAACACTTTTTGTAAAGTTACTCTTGAAGGTAAAATAAACAAAGAGGATAGTAATTTGTATGCTGCGTTACTCTGCTTGTAAAGGGCAAGGGCAAGAAATTTATCTTCAATGTCAAATCTTCTACCTTTAGCCTTTTTGCCAAATGATTCAACCTGTCTTTTGAAAAAGTGAACTGCAGGATGGTTAAATTGTTTGGTCAAATTTTGAAAGCATTTTTCTTTTGACCATTTTTCGATAGTTTGGATTTTACGTTGTCAATCCATTTTCCGTTTGGAGAGTATGGAAGCTTTCTTCTCGTAATACAAAGCTTGCTTATACAGAATTCTGGAGATAGGAGACAGTTGTGAACTCTTATGTACACCAACATTTTTCAACAAACCATGTTCTGAAAAAACGGCAAATAAAAACTGATATTACATTAACTCATTAATATTACATACTGCGTGCTACAGGATCATTTAACCTTATTTGAGAATTTTCAGATGTCTGACGGTACTGAATTGCACCCAATTCATTATTTTCATCACCTAAAATAGAAATACAGCTAAATGTGATACTAAAATATGCTTTTTATGAAAATTAAAATACATGAATGTTGACTACTTAAACTCTGTATTCATGAAAATATACTTACCAAAATGTACAAAGGTAGAACTGGTTGATGGACCAGGATTATTTGGTGTTGACATAAATATACGGCCATCAGGTTTAATTTTGCTGTGGTTTAACTATATAACTTTTTATTTGGCAGACAATAATCAAACGTATTAACATATGACAAACGTCAAAAGTACATAAACAAGGGTCAAAATCAAAACAAAATGATACCTGCATTACCTGCGTTTGAAATCACAAAAGCTAAATAGCACCATCTTACAATATGGAAGCCGAAGTTACAGTGGAATGTTAGGTATGCAAATGGTATAGGTTGTTGTATATCAGATTTCATTCTATGTTAATATATCATTTTCTATGACAAGAACAAAAATGACATGAAATGATTCATAATTGCAATTGTCAAAATTTATTCTACAAAATCTTTGTGGCGACATCTATAGACTCTTTCCCCAACTTGTATATCCATCTCAAGTCACGTGGTTCCCAGAGTGCCCATATTTTCAAGTATAAGTTATCGGGCCCTGAGTCGAATGCATAGAAAATGGATCTTGTATATTATTTTTTCTATGGTCGAATGCCCTGCTGAGATCACAAAAGATCCCAACAGGGCACTCGCCCGCCTCTACAAATTTTATAATGTCGTTATATAAAGAACATACGGCTGACGTTGTAGATTTGTTGCTACAAAAACCAAATTGTCTATCAATCAGTATGTTAAACTTCTTCAGAAACACAGACAGGCGTTCTAAAAAAGCATATTCAAAAACTTTCGAAAATGAAAACGAAATAGTGACTGGCCGGTAATTTTCCAGTGAATAAGTATCTCCCTTTTTATGTAATGGAATAACCTTACCTAAATTTAGTCGTGTCGGAAAACTGGACGTTGCAAAAGAGAAATTAACTAGATAAGTAAGTGGTTGAATCAACAGAGAAACAACTCGTCTTAACAAAAATAGCGGTACCTCATCGGGTCCGCAGGATTTTTTATTTTTTAGTTTAGCTCTTAAAAGGTTCAGTAATTCTACCTCAGTGTATGCAAATAAACAAAAAGTATCATTTATTCTTTTTCCCATGCTTATACTATTTGTCATTGTCTTACTCCCAGCTGCGGATTCAATTTTATTTATTACGCCCTTTGGGGCGTTTACAAAAAAATCATTAAAAGCAGACACTAATAAATCAGGACTTGATACATTCACATTACCTAACTTGATTGCAAAATTATTAATCTCTTTTTTTTGTTTATTAGACATCTCGGATACCACTTTCCATGCTGTTCGCACAGGATTGTTTGAATCAAATATTCTCCTCTGATAGAAACATTTTTTAGTATCACGTATCAAACTTGCATGTTTTCTTTTTGCGTTCTTATAAAAATCAATCATTTCGGGAATACATTTTGTTAAATTATAAAAGTATTTAAGCTCCCGACTAGAGTCCCTAATCTCCTCATTAACCCAAGATTTCTTAGTTAATACATTATTATAAACCTTACGTTTGGGAAAACATGTGTCAAAATAATAATTAAAAATTTCACAAAAACATACAAAAGCATCATCAATGTTATCCTGATTGTACAAATTATCCCATTTTTCACAAGAAATTGCACTTTCAAAACATAAAATACTATTTTCATTAAAATTTCTTCTTTCACTAAAGAAACCGTTTGTTTTTCTTATACAAGGAATATTTAAAGCAAGGTACACACTTCTATGGTCTGAAATGTAGTTATCCAAAACACAACATACCGTTTCATTATCAGAAAAACTAGAAAAAATGTTATCTATTAAAGTACACGTCGTTGTAGTGACTCTCGTAGGCCATTTTACTAACTTTGTGAGATTAAAACCAGACATAACTCCACAGAGAACGTTAAAATCCTGATTTTTATATGAATCCAAGTTAAAATCCCCACATACAATAATATGTAAATCTGGTTTATACAAAAAACTTAAGACATCGGTGATTTTATCAAAAAATACAGATACATTTCCAGACGGAGAACGGTAACAATTTATAACAATAAATTTCATATTCTGAATGGTTAAATATACAGCACAGAACTCAAAGTCCTGCTCAATACAATCAATATTAACATTAATTCTCTTGGCGTTAATGCTATTCCTTACCCATATCGCAACACCGCCACATTTTTTTACTGATCTACAATAAAAGTTTATCAAACTATACCCTGTTAAGTGTATACTCGCCATTTGATTATTTCTTAAGCCTGACTCAACAATACAAACAATATTTAAATTAGGATACTGACATAAATCTTCACATAGAAAGTCGACTTTAGCGTGATTAAAAGTGTCGACGTTTAGAACCAACAAATTTGGATCAAATATTAAGTTGTTACACTTTGATTGATCCTGCGCTTGTGAAAAAAACGATTAATGCAGGTCCCATATGGCCATATATCTGCGTCCATGGCTGTCTTAAAACTATCCTCCAAAACGGATACCTTAAAAGAGGCGTACAATCCGGGATGCTTTGAAACAAGCGCTTCACATTTCACTTCGGGGATATGTACTCGGAGCATGTCAGAAATTGACGTAACGGTGGTGCTGGGTTCAAGTCTATACACATGGAGATCCACCCAACGAGGAACTCCCTTTATGACAGCTGAATCCTTATTTTTTCCTATTAAAGTGGGACGTCTGCGCTTACGATTGCTTGCAACTTTCCATTCCTGTCCGGCTATCTTATTATCATGCTCGTTGTTGATATCACCATTAATATTTATATATTTATCAATTCTCTGCTTAGTTTGAGCTTCCAAAACAACAGGTGGTAACGTCACTATTGGAAATACCAACAAAACCACTTTTATGATTTCGTTGTTTATTAACAACTTTATCATTTTGAACAGGAGGCACATTGTTGCGCCCCGTATTTGTATGTTCATTTGAATAAATATCCGAATTAAAAACCTTATCATCGGAAGAAGTTTTTACTCCTTTTTTGTCTTTAGACGGCTGTACAGTTTTACTTTCTTCTGCCGCTCTCAGCTTGCTTAACAGTGAAATATGCTCATTTAACATCCTATTTTTATCTTGCAATTCACGTACCAGATCATCTTTCTGTTTAATAATATAGATGAAAATAGCAATATCAATTTTACCATTTGCCGATACATTCTCCATGGCATCACAAAATTGTTCAGTTATATGATCGTTAGTATCATCAGTACAACAATTAATTGTACAATCACTAGTCACTTTTAGACCTTTCCAAAGCCTGGCACAACTTTGATGGAATGAACTATTACACTTTTCACATGTCAAACAATTTTTTACAACATTTTTACCACACCTTTTGCAAAATACTTCAGAAGACATTTTTAATCGACCGTTCACCACGGAGTCTCTCTCTAGTCTAAAATATATAAATAATATATAAATAAAAGCCAGCATTTAAAATAAATTCCATATTTACTTCTAATTGCAAAAATAAATATTTTACATACAATACTTGGTAGTTAAAAATATATTTACTGCCCCCTCTGCAAAAATAAAGCAACTTTCCCATTTGGTACGTTGGAGGATAACGATAACGTGAAATTTCCTTCACCCGTATATAATATCGCGCGAAGCTGTCCAACGGTTGTTTTAAATTTGCAGCGAGGTCTCATTCTTATGTCGAAAATATCACATTAATGTTGGTGTGTAAATAATCATTGCTACAAATAGGAAAATTAAATTTAGCTCGCTCGATATTAAAAATACTTTGTACGGGGAATAAATTCTATTCGGCAGCATTTCGAGTAATGTTCAAGACAGAATTTTAAAAATATAAGACCACCGAACAAAACAATCACATCTACTTACTAGGTACTAAGTCTGCCATTTAAGAAATGTTAGTAAAGATTAAAAAGGTTCGTCAGTTAGATCTTTTAATTAACCTTAAAGTGAAGAAGAATAGCCTCTCGGCGAATAAGGAATTTTTATATTAAAAATATTCACAACTTAACAAAAAGACAGTTTATGAAATGTTCCCGTGAATATTATATCAAGCGATGCGAAAATTAATAATTTGCGTATTTGTGTAAATAAATACAATTACAATAATATGCCGTCACTCAAACTAGAAGGATGAATTGGTTCGTTCTTTTTCTTTACAGAAATTAAATCGATATAACTTCCAGTTCAAGAGGCACAAATTAAATTATCACACAATGGCTACCTTAAATTCTGCATATAGTTGGAATATTGAAATGGATTGTACACTAGAAAACTGTGGAAGAGATTAATTCCTTCATAAACCGTGATATCAAAATTTGATATTGTCCGTTAATTAGAAATCAACTTGTTGCGGGATATTTTCAGCAACTGTAAAGGAACAAATTTTTTCCGTACTTTTGCAAACTGGGATCTGATACGGGATATTTTTACATTGGAATTAAAAAAAAAACAAAATTGAAACCTGCATTTTTTGTTTCACCACCATCAACGCTTTTAAAAATGTTAAATGATTATCATGTAAAAACCCGTTAAGCGAAGATTTACAACCGGTTTCTCCCTCGGTGTTTTTAAAATGCGATAAAATTCCGGCCACTACAAATTTTTTACATAATACGTTACAAATTTCTTTCGAACGGGTGAAAGTACCTTGTTCAGGAAATACGACATCATTACGACTCATTATTTTATACCTTATTCTAATTCAAATAAATTTTTTAATCTACGCACTAAAACATATTGTTTTTGTACCTTTCTAATAATATATTTAACCACAGTAAACAAATTTTTACGGATAAAATACAAAAAGGGCTAATTTATTCGCCAAAGCGCATTCTCAAAAGTTTTGTCCTGAACGTTACACTCCCATTATGCGGTCTGTTCCACAAGAAAGAAGGCGAGGTTTTTTATAGTAAAATGAAAAGCGTTTCTTTCCCTCTTTTACGGCACGATTGTGGGTTACGACACCATTACTAATTCATTTCGGTCTCGCTCGAAAAGTTTAAGAGAGCGGTAGTTTGTCAGAACGAGTTGCACGTACACTCCGAGGTTGACTTTTCAGGTACGCGTACAAATGGAGCTAGATTGTCGAAAGTCAAAGAAGTTCGTTGAGAAGTTGGTTAAAGCGGTACACAAACAAACGATCCAAAAACTTTGACGACTTCTGAAAAAGTCTCGCCTCCCTTCTTGTGGAACAGACTGTACTTAGTATTATTGCATTTACATCTAGTTGGAAACGCCCGGCAGTGAAAAACGTTACGATCTTTTTTATTCATCTTAACTTTTTACACAAAATCAGTCTAAATCAAAAGTTATGTTTACTAAATTAATGCTAAATATTCCTATTGGCCGTTGGGGAGACAACGGCTAAAAGGAAACGTAAAATATTTCGGCGGAGCTCAGCCCTCAGTTATTATACAGATTCCATAAGGTGATCGTGCCATCTGCGCCGCTCGCCGCCATAATCTTGGCGTTCCAGTAATTTATGACGCACGGGGAGAATTGTATGTCCGTCACCGGGCCCTTGTGCTCGGCGAGCACCACGAGGATCCTCAGCGTTTTACATGAGAAAACCCGCAGCCTTCCGTCCCACCCTCCGGATACGAAAATCCTGCCGTCGGGGCGCATCTTGACCACGCTGCAACCCTCGTTGGTTATAGATAACTCACACCTTAGAGTCATGTTGTGGGATTTGTCAATCGTGAAAAGCTGTAGGGAATTGGAAGAGCCCGCGCAAACAACGCGGTTCATATTGGGATCGAAAGTCATGTACGTGAGGTGGTCTTGTAGTTTTATGTGGCTGCAAGGCTTGAAGGTGTTGAGGTCCCAGAGTATTACGTCTCCTATACAAATAACAGAGCGAATTTTAATTTTTTCTGCTGTCCGAAGCTTTTTATTTTTCACTGAGAATATTTTCCTTAGTAGGAAAACATCAGAATTTAATTTTTATAAAAAAAAAATGTATTTTACAAAATCGCTAGTAAGTTCTAGTTTAAAGTTCTGTAAGATTAAAACATTTTAAAAATCTCACCCGACTCGTAACCAGCCAATAAACAAAGGTTCCCACCGATTTCAACATCCCTCAGGCACATTACCATCCCTAACTTCTCCTTATTAGGGATCAACCGTTGAACTTTTGACAAGCTATTTATATCCAATACATCTACCGTGCCTTCTTCTTGCGGCACGATCAAACTGCTGTTCAAAATAATACTCTTGCAAAAACCCCCACCAGCCTGGTAACTGTTCAGAGACTTATATGAGCTCTTTTTGATGGACCACAGCTTAACCATGCCTGATTTTTCTTGTGTTATTATATTGTCATCGAAGCAGTGAACTGCCTGAATAGATTCGCCCATTTCTTGTTTGTACTGAAGGCGGTTAGTCTGAAAATATACCCATTGCCTATCAATTACGGAAAGTTTGGACTAATAAAGGAAAAGTGGGAATATGCAGAATGTCGAAAAATTTCAGTAGTCTATAAATCTAAATTACAGCAAAACTATTTCCTTCCAAGAAGGCGCAGAATGAAAATGACATGGTGAATAAGTGGCAAATCATTTATCAATACACTTTGTTATTTTTTTGTTGCAGCAGAATTTCTATTTACAATTTCCTAAATTGTGAAATTTTTATGCTCTGACAGGAAAAAATATGTAAAGAAAAAACTAATTTTATTTTTAGATTTGTTAAATTGTACCAAACAATACCAATTATACCCACAATTAATCAAATACCATTTCAAAAACTGTTGCCTGCTTACCTCTAGGTCCCAAAAATACACAGTCCCTTTTTCTGTAGCTGCCAAAATTTGAGAGCAATAGTTATCATTTTTTAACGGAAAACATAGACTGTGAATGTGTCCCATATCTCCTTTAAAACAAAAAATTGGGTCCGGTGGAAGAATTGCCATTTTCTTAATATATCAATTTAAAATTAAATATTCAAATTATTCTAACTGCGCTCTAAACTAAAATGAAACCATGATGGAATTTTTTGACAGTTCCTATTTCTTGTTCTTCGCATTCTAACCATATTTTCTTGATCCTTGGTCCAAGTGCGACGGAATAATCACATACTTCTATCCTATAGAAGTATGTGGGAATAATACAAACATATCGATAATCGATTATTGCGCCATCTCATTTCAAAAACTAGGATGAATCGTTAGAGTCAAGGCTATCCATAATAATGATATAATGAACAATTAAATAGTTTTAAGGGATCTATACTAATAACAACGTTTGGAAATGTCACTGATTATTTTGTTGTAAATAGAAAATGAAGGGTGGAAGTGGGAAAATACCGGATAATCAAACCCGGCGTATGTTGGGTTGCCTAAATCATTATAGTTGACTAGTAGTGAACTGTAATAGTGTGTGGACGTTGACTGAAGTATTATTATTTCCATGGAGACTAGATAAGGAGCACGAACTCATACGGAAAAATTGACAAAATTCGTCCAAGAAATGGCAGAAGTTGGGGTGGCGCTAGTGTTCCATATGACCCAAATGAATGTAGCTTCATAAATACGAGTGAAGTAAGCAAATAACCAATTTTATTTTATTT